TGAAATTTGTCACGCAGGTAGAACTGTACAAAAAGTTTCTCAAGTCTGCCATTTTCAAATGTGATTTGTTTTGGTCTTTTGCAGTTCACGACTTGCAGAGTTTTGGCTTGGACAACGTAAGTAACTGATTGTGTGTGACCCCAAAAAATAAATCCCAAAGACTTTTGATACCTGTTGTACATATAGTTTAAGAGCCACTGGTCTCAATGAAGCTCTTGGGCCCCAAGACGGCACCAAAGCGATATTTATAGCTTGGCCTACAATTAATAAACTTTTTTTTTTTTTGCGAATAACAGAGGATAGTTGTACAAAAAAAATGAAAACTGAACCTGCTGCATAACACTCTGTCCTTTGTGACATATTTGAATTGGTTTTCTCATTGCTAAAAACGGATACCCTGTGATTTAGATCAACATGACCCATTTGATCAAACACCTGTCATTTGGGGAGGATTACCCCGGCATCGTGAACCCCCTGGACGGCACGCATGTGACGGCACCACAAGGTCAGTTCAGTGAAAAGGGAAAAACTCTAAATAGCACTCTGCAATGTTTAGTTTGTTTTTAATGGAAGCGATGACATGGCCCAGCGGACAGAAAGATGCGGCTGCCATTGCAAATGTCCCTTAGATGTCGTAAGATTGTCGTCGTCCTCAGCAGCGGATGCCCATCCCAATAGCCATGAAGGTGCCAAACGTTCCACCGCTCTGCATCATGGTCTTGCCCACTCCTCCCATCAGCTCCCGGCCTCTCATGCCAATTCTGTAGACGAGTGAAAAGCCAATAGTCTTTTATTTAGTCATTTCCAGGAGGCTTAACAGTCACGATCGGACAATACATAGCGGGGGGGACACACACAAAAGACGAGTGCAGTTTGGCAAATATAGAAAAGGGGAAGGATCGTAGGAGAGGAATGCAGGAAGGAAGTGTGCTCTAATAAAACAGCAGGAACGGGAAAACTGTAAATGCATAAACATTTTAAGTACTTAAATAAGCACACGTCCTTATGTACTTAAGTATTCTTAAAACAACTTCATTTACAGAGCACTCTACATAACCACAGCTGAAACAAAGTGCTGTACTGTACAAAAATAAGCCATAAAATAATTATGGCAACGAGAATAGAAATGTAAATTACGATTATGTTTGGGGCAGTCCTTCTGAGGCTTTTTTTTTTTTGGTTGTTTTTTTTTGGGGGGGGGGGTACCTGAGACAGGAGAAAGTACCGAACATGGCCCCGGCGGCCATGCCCACGGCGAAACCCATCATAAATCCCATCTTGACCCGGTCGAAACAGCTGGGCTGGGCCTGGCCCTGGCCGTAGGGTGCAACAGCCACGGGCATCTGGATCGGCAAGACGACACACAAATCACATTATGAAACGCTTTAAAAAAAATAACATTTGACAGCCAGTTGATTGTACGGTAGTTTCTTGCTCGTCGATACTTGAATTGGACCCGCCTGTCTCCCTGCTTGCGTGCCAATGTAATAGCATTTGCGTGCTAACGCATAGCATTAGCAGGATAACGACACTTGTGTTGGGACTTTGTGAGGAAAACGGGACACGATTTTTTTAAGAGCTAAACATGTTCGTTACCTTGATTCAGCTCTTTCTAAAGTTAGCTTCTTTAGACTCTCCTGGATTTTCGATTTCAGGCGTACTTGAGCGCAGCAGCGTTTAAATGTCTTTCTGTCAGACCTCCATAGCCGGATGTAGGAAGAAGACTAAAATAAGACAGGAAGTGAGCCAACATGACGACAAGCACAAGCGTCGAAGGGACGCATAATACAGCGTCACTGTGTGGCGCCTTTCGGTAGTGCAACCTCCAATTAATCACGTCTTTCGCTGGTGTCCCTTTGTCTCAGGATATTTTTTGTGTCTCCTCGAATTAGTGGCTTCCGTCTTGATCCTTTGTGTCCTTTATCTCAGGCCCCAGTTTGTGTCCTCCACTAACCAATTCGCTTCCGTCACTAGCACATGTGTTTGTTTAATCCAAACACGTTACTGCGGTGAATCTAAAGTGTGGTTAGCAGGGCTACCTTTAGTGAGCACAATTCAGTTGGACACTTTTTCGTGCGTTTACTACTTTTGAATACATTTGGAGTTGCTCTTTAAATGTTTGAACTTTTGTTTTGACGCAATTTTTTACTTTTGTGCATCATACAGTTAAACTTCATTGTTTAGGTTCAGTCATTTATTTTGCCCTATTACTGTTTAAACTGCCTAATATCACATTGGTTTACAAGAAGATTAAATAGTATTTTTCACATGAATGAATTTTAATTTTGGTCCTGATAGTCCCTGGAGTGTTGAATATTTTTTGAGTGTTTTTTTTTTTTTTTTGTACTTGGTGTACAAAGTTAGAGAACTACTGTAATACAAAATCAATTTTAGGTGAAAGTAAATTTGTTTCTCTTGTGGTCTTCTTGTTTTTCCTTTCCCTCAGCCTCAATGATGTACCAGTATTTTGTCAAAATTGTCCCAACCATTTACATGAAAACTGATGGAGAGGTGAGTGCGACAATACTCGAATACTGTCCCAACACCTTGAGCCGCAAGGCAGACGAGCTCTTTTTTTGGACTTGTCGGCAGGTTGTAAAAACCAACCAGTTCTCAGTCACCAGGCATGAAAAAGTGGCCAACGGCTTGATAGGTGACCAGGGCCTGCCCGGGGTCTTTGTTTTATACGAGCTCTCACCCATGATGGTGAAATTCACTGAGAAACACAGGTAGGACGCACACCCGAACTGCAAATGTTTCCTTTTTCAGATTCTCGGAATGCAAGTACTGCTTTCTACATGAAATGTTGTTGTCCTTCAGATCCTTCACTCACTTCCTGACCGGAGTGTGCGCCATCATCGGGGGCGTCTTCACAGGTCTGTCTCAAACTCCAGCGCTTGTGCGTTTTGGGATGAATTCTCAAGCCGTCTCTTTTTATTCCCTCGTGTCGTCTTATCGCAGTTGCCGGCCTCATCGACTCTTTCATCTACCACTCGGCTCGCGTTATTCAGAAGAAGATAGAACTGGGCAAAGCCTCCTAACCACTGCGCCTCCCGCTGGTCTCCGTGTGGCCCCCTGAGCACGACGGACGGACGGCAGGACAAGAGGCAGGCAGAGGACCGAGCATCTTTGCGTCGTCCTGCCAGCCAGATGGACGGATGTTCAGATGGAAAGGCAGAGAAGGACGTTGAACATCAGCCGGGTCCCCGTCTCCCTTTTTTGTCGGTTTCCTACGAGCGCAATGACTCCCCCTGCTGGCCCAATCCCGCCGGGACGGTCATACTGTCAGTCAAATGAGCACAGCCGGGCCGCTCCATACCACCTGTGGGTTGTCCTGGAAACAACAATATGGCCAATGGCTCCGCTCCTTCTTTACACCCTTGTGTCTTAGGTCCCTTGTTTTGGTCCTTTGCCAAACTCCCTTGTTTTTCTCCTCCTTGGTTGTGTCTGTTTTGGTCCTTCACTTATTTGCCTTGTTGTGTCCGCTATAGCGATCCCTTGATTGTATCCTTTTGGTTGGGTTCCTTGTGTTGTTTTTGTCTTTTGCAAGTGCCTACATTTTTTTGTAGGCACCCTTTGCCTCGGTGCCTTGTTTGCATTCTGTATGTCGGCTTCTTTTTTTCTTTTTCTTCACTCAACTTCTTTCACTTGGTCCCTTGTTTTTGTCCATCTGCACCCCCTCTTTTAGTACTTTGCGTCGTTGCTTTGGTTAGCACCCTTGGTTGTGTCCTTTGACCCCGTTTTTTTTTGTTTACATTCTGTGTGCGTCATATGTCTTTTTGTCCTGCATTGTTTTTGCAATTCATTGCAAGTTCTTTTCCCTGTTACTTTAATAACTCGGTTTTGTCAATATTTACTACGTCATCTCAACAGGACCTGTGTGGGTCTTGAGATCACCAAGTAGGAATTGCACATGAATAGATTTCCTTTGGCCACAAAAGTATCACAAGTGTGAAAGGGAAAAAAAAATAAGGTTGAGTCTGAATCATACAAAAAGAACAAGGCGAGTCAATGAATTATGTTGATTGTTTAATAATCTGGGCAAAGGGCTGCTTCATTTTTTTTAAAGGGTTCTTGCTGATTATTTGGAGTTGTCAACATTGCCCAACATTTGTCTTCATTTTAGTGAATCTGAGACAGTCCTGCGGGGTTTGCCTGGAGTTTGGTGGTCCATTCAGTCAGTGAAGGCCTCCAAGAACTCTTAAGTGTGAACAGTGCAGGCAGTGGGAGGCGCGTTAACATTCAAATCCGGGGTACGGCGTATGTACTGTATGTGTGTGAGTGTGCGAGGGTAAAATGTATTTATATTTTGATTGTCCTCAAAACTGTTTTTTAAATGACACAATAAATGTGAAAGACACCAGCCCCCACTGTGCACATTCGCATGAATGCTATTGAACCTTTTGAATGACGACTAACAATCTCGTATCCTGTTTAGGCTTGCGCATAAGCTCCAGTGCATCCCAGCGGACCTGATCGCCAGCAAATTACAAACCGCATATAGACTTTTACATCAAAAGTGGCTCTCGAACACTAATTCCTACCCATGCGTCACATAGATATTTATTTTGAAGAAATAATTGGATAATATTGCTGACTGACATTTTTTAAATCATTGTAAAGCACAACGAGTTCACTTTGTGCCTTTAATGCGCTTAATAAATTGATAATTCTCGAGTTAAAACACATCGGATTGATTGTTTTGCAGTGACATTTGTCGGCCACAAGATGGCGATGTTGTCCTTGACCCTTACTTTTTTCCAGGCAACGCACGCTGGGTGAGTAACTTCCAGTCGCTGTGACGTCTGCAGATTCCTCCAGGGATTCTTTCGTACTGTAAGTGTGATTACAGTATTTATCAGTTGTGTGAGCGTGTTTTCTTGGCTTTATATCTAAACCGCCCTTGCGCGTGATAAATCGGCCGGTCATTTATTCGGAGTATGACGAACACTGACTCAATTGTAGGAATGACAAAGAAAAGAAAAAAAGTCTTCACTAAGTATCTTATAAAACATTTATTTCAAGAAGACGAGCACATGAAGAAAATTAAGACACAAGGATGACGGCTGGACACAAGAACAAAATTGGGTGTAAATTGTGCTGTCTGCATGCTACTCGTATGCTAACACGCTACGGACCTGCTTTCAACTGTGCGGAAGACCGCACGATATGTCTTCTTTAAATAAAAAAGTACAGCCGTCTGTGGTCCTCCGATAATTGCCCCCCTCACATTTGCTTTGGGAACAAACAATCCTTTTGAACAGGAAAAACAGCAACTTGGGCACCACGGGGAGCCTCCCTGTGTGAATCAAATTCATTATGGCCACCTTTGAGCTTGAAGCACACTTGAACCGAAACGCCAATGATAAAGAACGCCTTGAAACGGTTTAAAAAGATAAAAAAAAATCATTGGTTGCTATGGCCACAAGCCATCCTGAATAGATGCTACTAGTTATAATCCGTAAGACTCTTTGGATCTTGAATATCGATTGCAAGTTATTTGGCCATTTTTTTTTTCCTATTGTAGCCTTCCTTCACCATTATTTCCCAAAGCGTGTCTCAGCTTTTCTATTGCTGTCTTTTGACTGAATTGCCTCGAACCCTACTCTGAGGGAGGGAGGGGGGAACGCTCTTGCTGAGAAACCTCCCTGGACTAGACTATTCTGTCTGGGTCTGGAACCTGATCTGGTGACCAGAAACACTTCTCCCGAAGGGAGACAGGCACAATGCTCTCCTTGGGCTCGAAATCTCGACAAGAACCTCACCTCTGGACTAGTATTCGGCTCTGTTAAAAAAAAAACACACACCTCTCACACACTTTCTCTGGAGATGAGAAACGCTCTCTCTGGCCAAGAAATAGTCTTGCAATGAGAACCCTTCTTTCTCGGAGGGGGCGGGGTCAAGCAACCTCTTTTTCCCATGGGGAGACAGAAACCCTGCTCAGGACTAGAAATCAACAAGAACCTTCTCCTCGGGACTAGTACTCGGCTCTCTTGGAACAAGGAACCTCTCTTTCTATCAATGGAGATGAGACTTTTCCCTCTTCTGGGACGGTGAACACTTCTCTCTCTTTGGATGAGAAACTCTCTTCCTGGACTAGAAATCTTCTCGCAATGAGAACTTTTCCTCTGGATGAGGAACAGGAAACCAATTTTGGCATCGGAGTAACCTTTGGACGGGAGGAAAAGAAACCTTCTCAAGAGGAGAACCTTCCCCCTTGACGAGTACCCACTTATCTCGGGATGTGGAACCTTTGTCTTTCTTGAGATGAGAAACCTTTCCTCTGGACAAGAAACCTCTGTTAGAACTGGAAACGTTCTCGCAATGAGACCCTTCCCTCAGGAGAAGTACCCACCTCATTGGGGGTTATGTGCTATTCTCTCAAGACAAGAAACCTTCTCTCTCTTGGGACGAATAACCCTTCTGTATCTGGGACGAGATCTAGTACTCTTTACGGGGGGTACGAAAACCTCTCCCCAACGTTGAGACCTTTCTCTGGGGAGGAGAACAAAAAAAAAAACAAAACAAACAATTCTGACCTGCAGTAGTATTGCCAACAATTTTTTTAACCTAACACGGCAATCTGTTCACACGTCCGAATGTTGCGAGCTTGGATGTTGGGTAGCTATTACGGAAAATGTTTCGCCAACATTTCAAGACCTGAACGACAAGAATTCAAACATGTCTCTTGTCCATGTAAACAGTCCTCGTGTCATACGGCATAGTAAAAACTGTCCAGGTCCCTTTTCAGGAGCGAACCGGCGAGCGCAGGTGCCGCAGTCGCGCTTTGAGCTCCTCCTGCTTGGCTCGCAGTTTGTCCCGCTTGGCCTGCAGCCGGTAGTTGTTGTTCTCCAGACCGTGGATGCAGTCTCTGGCCTTCTTCAAGATCACCACCTTGGAGGCCTTGTCGTTGCGGGACAACTCGGGTACGTTGTCGCGAAGGCGCACAAAACAGTTCTTGAGCTCGTTGCGCCGCTGCCGTTCCATCACGTTGTGAGTCCGACGCCGCTCCTCCTCGTCCTCCGTTTCCGCCGAGTGGTGCTCGTAATGGCGGCGGGAGTGCCTGTTGGACGAAGGTGGCGGCGGGGAAGCCGGAGGGGGTGCGGCGTAGTTGTGCTGCAGCTGGATGTCAAAGTGGAGGCGGCGCTGGAGAGCACGACGCTGCCGCTCCTCCTCTTCCTGCTGCTGTCTGGAGGGGCAGCGTCCCACCGTCACCACGTCGATCTCTTCCTCTGCAGGACAGCAACAAGTAAGACTCTGATCACACATACACATGAAATAAGTGTTTGCTCATAAAAAACTTGTCTCTCCTAATGTATAAAGTTGTAAAAATTGCACCAAAAATTGTGAATTATATACATTTTAAGAGCTAATATGTATTTTCTGAATGTCAAGAATATTTTCTTCAGTTTTTTTCCCTGAAGTCACGAAGTACATTTATTTCAAAATGTTCTGAATTTTAAAATTACATTTTACTTAATCAAGTATTGAGGGTTTTTTTTTTTGTTGAATTTTTGAAACAAAATAAACAGCAATCAGTCGAACAAGAAACCACTGAACAAACAAGGTCACCACATCCTGTGTAGTGAATAGTCAGCATTGCCCCAGGGGTCTGCGCTGGGAAATGAGTCATTAGGAGCTTAAGAACAGAGCGCTAAAACGCACGCGCACGCAGTCAGTCACCAGCCCAGACCCCGCCCACTGATTTTAAAAAACAATTATGCTCGTGAGCGCATGCGAGTGTGTGCGGACTCGAAAGAGCAAAGAAACATTTAGTCTCACCGGAGTCGCTGGATGTGTACGCGGACACATCTCCTCCATTGGAACAGTAGTCAGACGTGGCCTCGCCCGTCTCCTGGCTCTCCATCAGGTTGTGGCAGTCCAGCGGGGAGCCGACCAGCCCCTCAAAGATGCTTGTGTCCATGTCCGACAGCATTTCCTCCAGGCTTTTGTCAGACGGCAGGCATCGCCACAGGCCATCCTCGCCGCTCTCCATGATGGGGGAATCCGGATGCCCCCCGCCGCCGCCATCATCATCATCATCATCATCCGAGCGGAAGAGGGCGCAGTTCCAGTTGAGCTGCATGTCGTGGTCCTCCAGGAGCATGTCTGAGACGAAGCTCAGCTGATCACCCTTAGAGAAGTCTGCCTTCACGGGTGGCGCGGGCAGCGAATGGAGATCCTTCAAACTTTGGCAGAACTCATCATCCAAGTAGGACAAGACTTGTGGCAAGCACTCCATGCCTCTTTCCAAAATATACATGGTCTCCTGCAGAGAATGACAACAACTTGTCTCAGCTGCTACGTCATTCCAAGTCCCAGACATCACATGGGACAATTTTTAATAGTCGTCACCATCGATATAAAGTGCAGACAAAATATGTATAATCACACTTACAAAAACAGCTTGAAACTTTTTTTTTTTATCGTAGTATCGAAGTGAGTCGAGTAGCATCTCATGGCCACAAATTAGCATTTTATGTGCATGTTACCTATATTGTGGCCACTAATTGAATCCCCCCCCCATTTCATGTCTGGCGGTAAGTAATTTCACACTTTAGTGAGCAAACACCACGCAAGCTCGACAGAACGTTTGCACCCATTGACAAGCAAGCCACTCGGCTTGTCTGCAGGGCGTGGAGGGCATGTCACAATCACATGGCGCTCGGATGTGTAGCATGCTTGCGATGCACAACAAAGCCACACTGTGTGCTGTCGGCATAGATGTCCCGCAGTTAAAGAACGCCCTTGTGCAGTGTGGAAACATGACGTGTGGCATTTTTTTTCATCTTAAGGTCTTTAAAAAAAAGACACCGACGCCGATCTAGTCTTAAACCCATTACGAACACGGTAGTGGCAAACAATTAGCGGGGAATGATCGGGTTCGTGTCCAAGGAAGCAGATTGCTTAAAATGTGGGTATTTCCTAATGAGGGTTTTGCACAGGGAGTTGAACACCCTTATGGAGCAAATCTATGCGATTTATTTTGGATTTAAAACTGCGTTTTTAACACAATGCAACGACGCCGATCTACTCTCGAACATATTACGCCAACATTGTTTGCTTACAATTAGCACAGCGTTGCGTGTTTTTGGTGCAAACGAGCAGCATTTTTAAAATGCGAGAGGGTACCTTTGGATGGTTACGCACGCCTCAGCTGAATGGCTGAAATGCCATAAGGGTGACAAATTGTGCGTGTTTCACACAGGTCAGCGTTGAAAGAAAACTAAATTGTCTTTTTAAACGAACATACACACACGCCTAACGCATGTCACAAGCGTCGATATCATATATTTAGCGAAGGGTGACGTGTTGTTGAGCAATTTAGTAGCTTGTTAGAACTGTAGGCGTTTACCAATCAATGGTGGTTGCACACAGATCCGAGAGTTAGACAAAATAAATTCACGTTTTTAAAATTTAAACACTTCCGCGCCGATCTATCCTCTAACACACGATCCATACAGAGATGGCCCACAATCATCTGGCATTGACATGGTTTTTCAGCACTTTAGCATATCATTTATAATATGAGCGTTTTGTAATGAGGTTTTGAAAAAGAAAATATTCCGGTCTTGTCAATAAAACAAAAAGGAGTTCTTACCCGGCTCTTTCAAACGGACGGAGAGCGTGGAGGTTCAACAAAATGTCCGTGTAAAAGTCCAAGGGAAGGAAAGGCACACGACAACTTGCAGAGACCGGGAATGAGGCGGCGTGGTTAGAAAGTCCTTACAAGCCGGCTACTACTTCTCTGAGTGGGCGTGGCTGAGGGAGGCGCAGTCCTAATTCATCAACGCGACTCGCCGGTATCCCTGCGCGACCAAAAACCGCGCCAAAATAATCGAACAGGCCACCAAGCGTTAAATGTCCACGCGACGTATTGATTCAGATACGTCATAAATCGCCCTTTCTATTTAGTTCTGGCGAGAAAACCGACAACGAAGGTTTTTGAGTGTAATTTATCACACATGTCGGGTCTAGCTTCTCCAATACGGCGCAGGGATACGTACGATGGGTTGGAATTCCAGGAAATGAATGGCGGTAAAATGAGAATACTGACGCACGTGCATTGAGACGAGAAGCCGGCTGTCATAAAGAAAAACAACACTAGAGGGAGCCTTGTCCGGTTGAGGACTTGAAGACCTAGCCGCCATCATTAACCGGGAGTCCCCGGCCTTCGTTTCCATTCACTTGTATTGAGCTACTCTGTGTTTGGCTCCGATAAATGGATCAACTCGTCGAATTCTTTGACGGTTTTGGCACGGATTCGTTTGTTATAAACATCGAAAAAAGTATATTGAAAATATTACTTCAAACGCAAACGGAACGTCACTTCTTCTTTCTCATAATATTATGATTTTGTTTAATTCAAAAGAGCTAACGTTTTAATACCAAAAGCATTTTAGAGGGCCTGTTGGACCTCAGTGTTCCACCATGCTGGTGAATGCTGTCAAGCAGGCCATTGCCGTTTCTTACTCTATGAACAGAAATATTTGGAAATGGTTGATTGGCCGATAGAGCAAAAGTTGCTTTGAACTGAAATGCACAACTTGCTGTTCAATTTCACATACCGTCTGGGTTCTTGAGACTTTTTGGTGCATCTTGTCATGATGGAGGCATTTGCTGAGTTTTGTGTCCGTCTGTTAAACTCTTCCAGAGGGCTGAATTTTTCTAACTGTCCAGGGGGTGCTACTGAGTCAGTCGTAAGACCGCATTACAAATAAGAGTGTAGTAGTCAGTGACAGCAGTGAAGACGCACTACACAAATCTCACATGCCCATAACCCCCCTAAACACACACACACACACACACACACACACACACACACACACACACACACACACACACACACACACACACACACACACACACAGCGAGAACGGACTGGTCGCGGTCTTCCCATTCTTCCCCCTGAAATTACGAGTTTCCTTGTTGCCAAAGCGTAATGACAGACTTCCTACATTCCCGGGAAGTCAATATGAGCGCATCTTGAGAAGGAGTCCGTGTCCACGTCTACCCAAAAAACAAGAATATGACTTTCAGTTGAAAACTGAGTTGCTCTTGAATATGAGTAAAGCAATAAAATCAACTTTTTTTTTTTGTCCATGTCAGGGGGCGGCCATTTTGCAACATGCTATCGATTGAAAATGATACGACAGTTGCTCAGGGCTCAGGTAACAACCAATCATAGACCATCTTTAAAAAAAAATAATAATAAAAAAGCAGATGAGCTGCAATTGGTCCAACCAATTATGGCTCATCTTTAAAAAAACAGCTAAGCCATGATTGGTCCTTACCTGAGCCCTGAGCAACTGTGATATCATTTTCACGCAACAGAAAATGGCAAAATGACCGCCCCCTGAGATGGCTAAAAACAGGTGGATTTTGCTGCTTAACTCATAGTCCGCAAACGCAATATGAATCAGAATGCCGTGTTTAGACTTGCAAAGGCGCATAGAACATACTATTGTAAAGAAAATTTGGGGGTTGATTTCCCCATTAAGGCTTAATCCCAATCCAAGACTAACCCTGGTTTCCAAAACCTATTTAATACCAATTTGAACTCATAACGCCTATATAACGTACGACTGAAATGCACTCCTTTTACTATATATTTTAACCCTGGTTGGAAATTGCAATTTGAAACATTTGTTTAAAACCCCTAACCTTGTCTCGAAACCCTACACCTTGTTAAAACCCTGAACCTTGTGTAAAACTGTGATTCAGAAAACCTCATCTCTGCTTGAAACTACTTTGTCACTCTTTAGATGGCTCAAAACCTAATTTGTTTACAAAAGTTTTGTTTTCAAATCCTACCCTGAAAGTCTAATTTGCAGTCTTAACCTTGTTTAAAATTCTAAACACTTATTGAAAACATTCACCTTTGTTTTGCAACACAGACTTGAAATTTTAAATAGAAAATATGAACACATTCAATATGGTTTCTTATTGCCCCTTCCTATGTGTGGCGAAGGAGTTCCACAGAGCTCCATTTTAGAGCCCCTGCTGTTTTTGAACTTGTATTTGTCTCTTCATTTAAATGTCAGATCTAACCTTTTTCCTTGGACTTCTCCTGCCCAGAAAGCTATTTAAGATAAGAGAACAGGTTTAGGAATCCCGCAGTTGGTCACAGGGCTCCATTTTGGGTCTCTTCATGGTCAGCTGTTGCTATGTTTGTGTACAAACCAGTCGTCTAATGTCACACTCAAAGTCTTACACACAATTGATTCATCAAATTCCAAAGTGGACCGCAATGAGAAGCTGCATTTGGTTTGGCTATTTCCCAAGGTTGCGCGGAATTCGACAGGCCTCTAACTATTGTTACCCCCAGCACTTGAATATTCCCACCGTGGGGCCGCAGAGACCACCATGCAGGGTTAGCTTCTGTGACGGGTTCCAGTGGTTTGGGTGGAGCTTGATGAGGAATTCTTGACAGGATCGTGAGCGTCTGTCTGTCTTACCTCGGGAGGCACGAGAAAGAACTCCATGCGGTTGACATTACAGTGAGAATCATTATTTCAAAGTCAGCTCATAACCACCACTACTTTTGAAATCCCCACTTCTATTTAAGAGGTTTGAAACCCTAATTTGAAATATGGCCTGAAACCCTAACTAAATCTTGAAACTTCAACTGTGGCCGTAACCCCACATTTGAACCCCAACCCTGGCTTGAATACTTTGAGACTAACTGTGGCTTCAAACTCTACTTTAAAATCCTGAACATGCAGAAAAGACCTAAAGCTTGTTTAAAACAATAATCCAGCCTTTAAACCCTAATTTGAAATTGTAATCTTGCTTTGAAACCCCAAATCTGTCTTGAAGCCTTTCTTTGAAACCCAAATTCTGCATTGAAACCCTACTTTGAAACCCTAATCTTGGATTGAAACCCTAACCCTTGTGTTTGACCTTACCTCAGGGTTAAAACCATACTTTCAAACCCCAATTCTGGTTTTAAACTTACTTTGAGACACTAATGCTGGCTTGAACCCGTACTTTGAAATCCTGATTCTGCTGGAAAGCCCTAAAATTTAGGGCTTTCCAGCAGAATCAGATTTAGGGCCTGAATCTTTTTGGAAACTCTAATCCAGGCTAGTTGAAACCCTACTATGAAACAACCCTGTCTTGGAACTGTAATTTGAAACCCTCAAACTCACATGAAACCCCAATTTGAAACCCCAACCTTGGCTTGGAACCCTACATCTTGATGAGAATTCTTCTCCAGTTTTGAAATCCCATTTAAAAAAAATAAGGCTGCCTTGAAACCCTACTTTTGATAGCCAAACCCGAAATCTCTGTTGTTGAAATCCAAACCCCAACCCTGGTTTGAACTATTTTGATAGAATTGAGCCAATACTTTCCATCTTTGAAAATCCTTCTTGGATCTCTTAATAATTAAGCACGTCAAAGTAAGTCAAAGTCCACTAATCACTAACAATCATGTCTTCTGTCTTCATCAAACGGCCCAAAAGTCAAACGATTCGCACGTGAAACTATTGTCATGTGCGGGGCCTCGTGAAATTTCAAGAAATCTTGCGCCACGAATTTGACGATTTCCTTTTAGTTTTTCTTTACCTGTCTTTGTATTTTTTGGGCCGGGGGGTAGGGAGGGGGGGCATGTGGCAGTTAAGATAATGTAACCAAAAAACTGGGCTGGATTACAGAGGAAATCAGTTGCACTGTGTGTGTGTGTGTGTGTGTGTGTGTGTGTGTGTGTGTGTGTGTGTGTGTGTGTGTGTGTGTGTGCGCACACGCGTTAATCAGTAGTTGGTTGTGTTACGGCAGATAAGTGAATCCTGAGTGATGATCAGACTATCAGCAGTAAACAGAAAACACACAGTTCATCACTAGAGTGCTATCAGCAGCAACAAGCACACACACACACACACACACACACACCACACACCCCCCCCCACACACACACACACACACACACACACACACACACACACACACACACCAGCCTTAAAAATCCTCATTTGAATGCGTCAGGTTTTCCCTGAAACCCAATTTCAGAACCCTAACCTTGGACTGAAACCCGAGCCATCATTCAGAACCCCGACCCAGGCTCAGAGCCCTAATTTAAAAGCCTTCTTTATCATATTTTGGAGGGAATATTCCCAACAAGCGCACACACACACACACACACACACACACACACACACACACACACACACACACACTGAAGAGTGAATCAACAGGAAGGCTGCAGGATACAAAATGTTCCCGCAGTCTGCAAAGGCATCACTTCTCCATTCAGTGTGCTCGGAAGCCTCTGGCTTGCCGCTTCATTCATGACTCGGAAGTGGGGAGGGAGGAAGAGGAAGGGGCCTCACGGCTTAGTAGAACGCTCTCGACCGCTCGCTAGCTCTCTCGCTCTTCCTCTTTCTGCCACTCAGTGATAGCTGGTCCTATCTTGAACGTTACGCCGCCCGTGTCGCAAGTGGGATCAAGGACCGCGGCGTTGTTGCGCCATACCACTTCACATCAACGTTCATGACTGCAAACGTGTGGTGTCCGTCCGTCCGTCCGTCCATTCTCGTTACCATTGCTCAATAAACGAGCAGTAATGGGTGCTTGGATAAATTCCGCTAGCTTGAAGCAAACACCGAAACACCACAGACTGGCGAATAAATAGCATCGTTGTGGAGGTGCTTTTAGTCCTTTAAGCAGGGGCGGGTTGCCATCTGTAATTTTGAGAAAATATCTTTGTTTTCCCAAACAGCCGCTGTATTTCCGGGCTGATCTTGGGCATCGCGGATGCCCCCAGGACCCCAACACCTCCTCCCCCCCGCGATTACATTTCGAATGGCCTGCTAGCCCAGCCCAAGCCTATAGACAAACACTACAACAATATTCAAAGACATATATTCTTCGTCCTCTGTGACAAACATCTAATATTAAGAGTTGTGAAAGTCTTTTCCCTAATGTCTATATATACTGCCCCCGGTGGCGGAGTCGCACACACCAGAAGGAGTCGCAATGAATTCATTGTATTGCATGATGAAATTAAAATATTATTAAATGTTACTTTCCTTAAAGATTTTTATTGAGGGTGGCCAGCACAGATTAATGGCTTTTCCATTGCTTAACAGTGAAAGATGATATGAATCCCTTAACCCGTGACTACTGGAGTTTGGCCTGTTTTACAGCCACTTCTCCTTTCTCCTTAAGTTCA